TAAGAAGTGCAAATTATGCTCTTTTATTCTTTCTGAATGCATTTCTTTTCACTTAATTTTTAAAAGATCTTAAGATTTCCTGACACAGAAGTTGGATTTTACTGATGGGTGAGAGGCTTGGTTTATATTAGGGAACATCTAAATACAAATTATTATTATTATTATTTAATAATTTTTATTAACCAGCCAATCAAATCAAATTAAATCACATCACATAAGTTCTGAATTACAAAGCCAAATTTTAAATTTTGTTGGGGGGACCCATATTTCAAGATCCGAAGGGGGATTCTGATCATCTTCCTGCTACTGCGTTAATGTCCAAATCAGTCCAAATCAGTCCAAACAAAGTTCATAATTCTATCCAGTCTTATCTTGCTGTTTCCACATCACATCTTGTTTATATATTTTCTCTTTCTTCTTTATGATCTCTTCTGATAGTCTCCTTAAGCCGGTAAACACCAATAATAATAATAATCCTGTGTGAATTTTCCGTTCTTCCATTCCTCAAATCGAGATGGTTTCCATATATCATCGCCTTCATAGATAACATCGCTCTTTCCATCTCGCAAAGCTGTCGCTCTTAAGTCCCTCTGAGGAGTTTCACCCACAATATATAAACAGCTCTATTTCTCTCTTTCTCCTCCCAGACTCAAGACCTCCGACAGAACTTCCCAATATGGCGACGGCATTTTTAACTGCGTCATTCCCAAGCTCTTATACATTCCTCGCTCTTCTTAAAACATGCTTTGGTTCAAAAGTTTATCTCCACACAGCCTTAAATCCACAGCTTAAATCCTTAAAATGACATTTCTGACTCGTAACTCGTGAGGGGAGGGGATTCTTGTTAATCACATAAGAAAAGAAAGGAAAGTTTTTTTTTCCCCTCCCCCATCAGTCATTTGCCATACCGTGTCTTGGCGTATCTTCTCATGTTTTATTCTTGTCTTGTTTTATCAGAGATCTCTTCTATAGCAGTCTTTACTCCCCTCCTTCCTTGAAATATGTGCATTCCTTCATCCAAATTGTTTTCTTTTGAAGTTCTTGCAGCTAGTGGCGCGAATCAGGGACGGCGTCCAGAAGTGCCGGAATCCCACAGGAGGGCTTTGTGCCTAGTGCCCCCATCCTCACAAATTCGGGGGTGGTATAGGGCACAGCAGGCAAGGGCAGTCCCCCCCCCACCGTCCTGGGGGGGGGGTTAGGGAGGCTAATTACTCCCATCATAGCCTCCAAATTACCTCGTGTGGGTCGGAGAGATGTTATTGTCAGCCATCTTCCAATGCGCCCCCTAGTGCCCCCCCATCTAAATACAAATTAACTTTGTTACCTACATTGAGGGTCCAAATGCTATTCTACAGATACAATACTGAACTGAATGAGTGTGATACGGATCTGTAAATTCAGAATCATATTTGGTTTTCTGTGTCTTCCATACTTATAAAGAGGACACTTGGGCCTCACTGACTCACTGCCAAGGACATCAAAATGATTAAGGGACTTTTACAACACATGGGAAGCAAACATCTCTCACACACATAGTCTAAGACACCCAGATTATTATTTTTATGCCAGGAAAAGCGATATTGTTACCTCTTTCTCCTGGAAAATGGGACATGAAACTTACCTTATTAAAACAGCGAACAATCCCACAGAGAGCAAGACAGGGGGCTGATGGATTGGAATAATGAGGAGTGGGAATTCTAAGTGAGCCTCAGAATGGGAACTGGCGGCAAGTAGTGCTAGCCAAGGATGTAATTTGGAAAACGGGACAAACTCCCCCATGCAATTCAAGTCCCAGTTGGGGGTGGTGGAGAGTGACCACCAAGCACAGCAGTGCACTTAGATAATTTTAGACTCTGGGCATGATGGAGTTATACCCTCTCTAGGACAGAATGATCTTATGTGGGGGGCCCTATTTAGAAAGTAGTATACATTACCATTAATGTATTAATGGCAATAATAATATGTTATATTTGGGAATGTGGTATGTTAGCCCACACACACACACACACACACACACACACACATGCGCACCCACACCCACACACACCCTTCAGAATATTGTATTATGCTCCCTCCTGGATTTCGAAAGCATAAAGCCCTGGAGGCCTCTGGAATGATGTTCCTTCTTTCTCTGACATACAAAATGAGTGACTTCCAGAATCTTAATAGAGGCCACAGACTCGGCTATGTAGTGTGTTATAATTATGTACCATTGTAGTAATACTTTAATTCACACCCTCTTACAAATTATGCTCTTCCAGATGGGAAGTACTAATGCAAATCAGAATATAAAAGCTTCCTTGAAGAGGTGTTTTATTATTCATATTTTCAAAGCAGTCAGTGTTCAAACACCAGCTGCACACCCATCATTTTTGCACTGGTGACTAGAAATTGCTTCACAAGAAGCTGTGGTGTCTGCAGCTTCAGTTCAAAATAGAATCTAAAGGGGAAGGCAGATAAATGATTGCTGACTCCATGGTAAGTGGCTGCCAATTAGACTTCAATCAAACTGATAATGCTGTCCAAGTTAAGCAAGAACCATGGAAGGAGAAACGTTGGGATAGATGATTATTAGGCCACAAGAGATAAGAGATTTAAAGCTAGAGCTCATCCTGTAATTGTCCAAGAGGTGCTGCTGAAAGTGGCCTCCAAGTGGTGATTGATATCTGACTAGGCACTCACGGTGTGAAACTCCATGCCCCTACTCCACCACTGTGGCCGCCAGGGAGTGAAGTGCTGAGATGCAGAATAGCACAGCCAAGCTTTATTTGGTGCTTCAAAACCAGAGATGGCAACCTTTGACCATCCACCAGCATGGCCAATAGCCCAGGACAATGGACACTGTAATCCAACAACATGGCAGGCTCTCCAGCTCTAAGCTTAGCAGGGATGACTCACTGCTTGGAAGCCATTTTTGATTACTGTCTTGTGTGTTCTCACCCCAAGTCTTCTACCAATTCTGGTGTTGCATGCATCCAGCTCCCGGGTGTTATGTACCTTACTATCCTAACGCCCCTTATAGCACACTGTAACCACAATGAAACTAACTAATTAAGATAACCATGCAGGAAGAAGTCTGGGCTTGAAACCATCTCCTGGGTCTGGTTCAAACATACATGTTCAGCACTTGATTTCTCACCTCTTGGTTAGTTAGGATTCAATGTCTGGCAGCTAAATGTGTGAGCTAGTACAATTACTGAATACTGTGTCTGATGAGATAAAATCAGGTAATATTAAAATTCAGTCTGAGATGGTACATTGACACATACACTTATGTCATTAGCTTTGCTTTTTCATCATTTTCTCTTTGCTCACAATGTTTTTGTGCAAGTATTATCTGATTCACAACTTCCTTAAGTTGAAGTTGTGTCTTCTGCTGAAGATGTACCTTTTCCTTTTGTAAGGCAAAGAACATAAATACAAGTAATTCTTCTGAATGCAAGAAATTTTAAAATATTGCAAATGATGTATGGATGTTCTCTTATCTTTACTGATTCACATCCAAGTCCCCCCCCCCTTGTATATATCACAGATGCATATCTTAATAATCTAAAATAACAGTAAAGCATATCAATATCTCTCTTACCCAGAAGGGTACCTCTGGAGTGTAGTTCTTTTATGCTTCTTTACTGATCCACCAAAATACATAAGAGCTGAAAACTTCAATCTCTTGACTTCCGTCAGCTGCAAGCTGTTTTTCCTTCACCTTCTACTAACTGAAGCCAGAAATACATTTCAGAACATTGTGGAAAACATCTCATGTGAACAAAACTATTGAGGTTCCTTTGTTAGGTTCCTTATCACCCGCAGTTTGCAGAACTATGTCGATAGGCCCAGTCACAGGAATCAACGTTACCAAATCCAGAACAGCAGATTTACACCACAGGTATAATAATTCCCACTACAAACTTGAGAAGCAAAGCAACTGGAGACTAGAGTGGACCACAAAGGAATGTTGTTAATCCTGTGCAAAGGCTTCAAATACTAGTTTTCTGTTCCTTACTTGGTGCCATCCTCAGCTGTTCCCCTACCTGCAATGACATCTGGAATACCACTTCCCTTTTCCATGATGTTCTGCCTGCCCTGCCTCTCTCAAAGATCAGAGAAGCCCATTCGATAGGAGACAGAGACCCTCCTGCCTGCCCTGTTCCTCTGTGACAGGAGGGCAACTCAGCCAATCACTAGGAGGGGCTGCCTCACTTCGCCCACATTATTTCTTAATGCATGACATAGTAGGCTTTCATGACAACACATTAGGAAATCCTTGAAATATTTTATATACAGGCACACTCTATTTGTGCGTGAGTGTGCATATGTGCAGTGCTGGGATCCTGGAAATGATGTCCTGTTTGGGCTCCAGGGAAGGTCTCCATGCAAACTGGAGGGGCAGCAGGGCTTGCTCAGCTGCCGTACTAGGATGTAGCAACTGCTGGCATGTCAGCTGTAAGGCTGTGAGGCTGAGCAGTTCCACAAAGCTCCGCTTCTCCTCCAACTTGCAAGAAGACCCTCCCTAGAGTCCAAAGAAGTCTCTTTGGGCTCTGGGGTGGGTCTCTTCATGAGCCACTAGGACTCTCCAAGGTGCTCCCCATTATACACAATTTTGCATATGTGTGCGGGGACCCAGAACAGAACCCCCACAATGTGATGTGATTTTCGGGTGTGCTGCTAATGTGTAAATCCTACATGCGAACAAAAGCAAGCATGCTAATTTCCACCCTGACATCACTATCCTGCTCATCTTCCATGAGTTAGAGAGCAAAGCATAGAGCGGGGAGCCTCCTGAACTTGTGAAGGATCTCTGTTCAGGACCCTACAAAACTGGGGATCTAATTTATGATGTCTCCCTGCTTCAGATGCCACTTCACTCTCCAGCTTGTGGAGAGCAGTGGGGAAACTGGTGGGATAGAAAGGGCTGAGCATAACATGGCAATTCCCTCTTGTCCTCATAGGTAGGATTTCCATACGAACAGAACTCCCAAATAGGGCTCCAAGGTTTCCTCTGTGTGTGTGTGTGTGTGTGTGTGTGTGTGCGCGCGCATGCATGCACACACACACACACACACTCTCTTAAAGAGTTTATGTGCACATATTCATACTGTGGCCTATTTCAGTGGAAAACCCCTGCCATAATAAACCATGGTTTCATATGCTGCTTAGGTGAGTGGCTTAAACTATAGCACCCCATTTAAAATGTCATAGGAAACTGCTTTGTTTCACTGATGCAGAGTGCTTGAGGGGAGCGCAGAGGAGGTAATGCATAAACATAGGTTGTCAAACTATTTTGTCTAAACTGGGCAAGTGTGGCCAGGTCACAAATACTCAATAAAAAGTAACTGGCAAATTATTCACAATATATTCTCTCTCTCTCTCTCTCTCTCTCTCTCTGTGTGTGTGTGTGTGTGTGAATGTATTTTCTGCATTGCATGGATTGTAATGCAGTTTTGCAAAAAAGCAAAAAAAGCAATGCCATTCCTTAGTTCTCGAAGTATCCAGTGTTTCCCCCCTCTGGGTTCTGCTGTTAAATCTTTACTGAATGCCAAAAGGTGTATTACTAGGTATATTACTAGGTTATATATATATATATATATATATATATATATATATATGTATATGCTGATATATATATATATATATATATATATATATATATGCTGCATGACCTTAATTACAGACTGATGTACAGCCAAAGCTTACGATTTTATTTATTTATTAAACATTCATTCTCAGTTTACTTTACAAAATGCTTCTGAAAATAGAATGAGTGTTAATTGCAATTCACTGAGTAATTAGGGAGAAAGAGAACTGCATACCTTTCAGATGTAATTAGGTGCCACTGAACATGACAACTCTAACCATTGGGTCAATTACACTACCATGCAGCTATAAATCCAGAATAATTCCACAAACGTCACTTTTCTTTTTCACTCGAGTAACTGAGATCAGAACACAGTTCTCATTCTCTCTCTCTCTCTCTCTCGTGTGTGTGTGTGTGTGTGCGTGCGTGTGCACCCCCCCATTCTTTTATTGTGATAACAACTACTTTGTATTGTTGTTTCCCCCCCAAGTTTTCTCAAGGAAGGTGGGAGAGAGAAAACATTTCAAAGGCAAGTCAATGGGAGTCGGTGCATCACTGTAGTGCATAACAAATTCTCCTTGAGCTGCCTAGAAGTATAAATATGCAAACAGATGCCATACAGTTCCCAGAACTCCAAATTCCCATCCATTAACTGAGCCATGTTTAGATTATTGGCAATAGGTCTGATTATCTGTTTGCAGAAGGTGTTAAATTCAGTTCCTGCCCTCCATGAACAGATTAAAGTACCCCCAGATACCTGGGTTTTTGAATATTGAGAACCAAATACAGCAGCCTGCTACTCCTGTGACCTGACTATGTAGATGCATCATATATTGATCAATACACTTTTCCCCGCATCCTTTAAAAATGTACCATTTTAAAATGTGTCCCTTTTCCTAACTGGGGATATTTTGAAGAGTAGAAAGGCCTCTGAAAGGCCCAAACTCTGTGGTCCTATCTATGCTACCAACAAATATAAGCTTTGTAGCACTTTAACTCTTGAAGAATCCTAGGAATTGAAATTTGTGCTGAAAATTCTCTGTTAGAGATTTCTAGCTTTCCTCACAGGTAGGGAGAAGAGAAATTTTATACATTACATGTTAAAAAATTATCCAATTCACATTTTCTGAAACAATATATGAACTAAAACACAGCATCCTTCAAAATTCACATTTATCTGAATTTTGTAACGCAGTTCTCCAACCATTGTTTATATGTATCTGCATATTTTCATTATTTCAGGGGAAATTGTTTGCAAAAATGTGTACATTAGCAACAAACAAACAAACCCGCACATGTTTACTAGGAGAAATTCATGCTAAAAGGCTAGTGAATTGTCATGAGGATTAAACACACACATACGTTGCCTCAAAATGTGGAGAACTGAATTTTAGATTGGAAAAATGAAAAACTGAAAGAAGCAAAATTGACAGATCCTTCTACCCTGGTCATATTTCCCAGGTTTTCTGTGAAGGAGGAGATAAGGAATGATTGCTAAACCAATTTAAGTCTGTAGTACAGACAGATACACCTATGGCTTCAAAGCCAGGTTTTCAACCCTACCTTAACTCACACATAACTTGCAACCAATAATATTAGCATGTCAGGACTATTGTAAATATTTGTTCAGTCCCCGCGGTGCTTCATTTTAACCTCAATGGGAGATGGGACAAAAATTCATTGGTATATTGGGAGAAAGCAAAACATGGGTCCCGTGGAGACATAAGAGGGGCCCTCTGATCTTGGGGTTGTAACTCCATGGGGATATATCTAAAATAACAGCATGGGATCCAAAGTTATTTACCTCCTTTTATTATACCTATAAACCTTAAACAGCATGGAATTTAAGATTATTTATCTGCAGGTAGATTGAAAATCCATACAGAGCTCCTTGGCATTAAACTCTTTTTCCATTCCTGCTGGTGACTTAGATGTGTGATGAAGTTTTCTGTAACTTTCAGTGGCAGTTCATTCCACCCCCTCTGTGTTGCAGGCTTTCCCATAGTTCTTGTCTTTGCTTGGTAATATGTGCATTGTGTAGGTTTAAGGGCACTTACAATGTGGAGGAAATGCCTGCTCCATGATCTTACAACATCCTTTCAGAGGTTATAAACATTTCCTTCTGTTAAATCCTAGTTTTCTTTCTTCCATAGAAAGTCCTCCAAGCTTTGCTCTGTTTGCCATGGAATGTGGGGCAACATGGTGAAGATTCATCCCTATGATTCATCCCTGTGTCTGAGGGCACATGGTGCTGGTGAAGCTAAGAAGTCTTGGTCTGCTCAGTGACAGGAATCCCACCAGCTCCAGTCAGCACAGCCAATTGTGGGTGGACTGTGGCTCAGTGGGAGAGCGTCTGCTTTGCTGAGAGAGAACCCTCCCTGAAATCTCAGAGAGGTGCTGCCAGTCCATGTAGACAACACTAAGCTAGATGGCCCAATGGTCTGATGCAGTACAGGCAGCTTCATCTGTCAGGGATTATGAAAGCTGCTAGCCAACATTTGCAGGGGGACGGGCTCAACATCATGGTTTTGTTCAAGACCGCCTAGTGAGTCCATGGCTGTGGTAAGATATGAACCCAGAACTTCCCTCTGGATATTCATGGCTAGCTCCCAAGTTTCCACCAGACCTTCTTTCATAATACTCCATTCAGTCCATCCCTGCTACATATCCCACGGCCACTGAGCAAGCATAGTCCTTATTGGAATGTTCTTTGCCCCCTTAAGTCTTGCCCCTGAAAAAAATCCCCCCTCATTCTGCAACATCCCAGATTCCCCACAAGTGAGCTGAGGACGTCCTCTTTTTCCCAATAGACTCACTTTTGGCTACATCATCATCCATACTCAGCATCTGAGTTCACTCTTAGTATATGCAAGTGGTCCCTGAATAAATAAATACATGTTTCAGTGTGGAGGGGTCCCATTCAGATTTCCAGTCAGCCAACCACACTGTTTTCCAGGATACACCATTTCCCTTCTCCACCTACTTTCCATGTTAATTCAATAGTCAGAATCCCATGTCAGCTGAGCATACTCAGTCCTCACCGAGCTGTTTCCATGTCCTTTGCAAGCAAATGTTGGCTGTACATCTGTGACTTTTGGTTTTCACTAAGCCTGCTGGTAACTCCCTCTGACTTGTAGGTGATGCCATTTTGGATCCATCAAGATCTGTACTCTGAGAATTAAGCTGTTCCGCATAACCTGTTAAATGAACATTCATCCTGGTTTGTCTTTAAATATATATATATATATTTATTAATTTTCAACCATTTAAACACAACAAAATAGACAAAACAAAACAAAATAACAAAATAAGACACAAACCATTTAACACACAAAACAATTTCAATATCTTATCTTTCATTCCCTTATTTCCACGACCTCCTCACACCTCCCTTTTTGTATTCCACTTCTGTTAATTGTTTCAGCAATTCCTTTCCATCTTCCTCTGTTTCTATCCTATAATTATCTTAACATATTCTGACCTTATTTTTCCCTTTAATACTCTATTAATCTATTTATACTTAATTCCTTATAGCATTTCTACTAGAGCCATATAACTTCATTCCAACATTTTTCTTACATTCATTATCTTTACAGTATTTCTATAAATAGTCTTAAACTTTTTCCAGTCTTCTTCCACCGACTCTTCTCCCTGGTCTCGGATTTCTGCCAGTCGTTTCCGCCAGTTCCATATAGTCCATCAACTTCATCTGCCATTCTTCCCGAATAGATAAATCTTGTGTCTTCCAGTACTTCACAATGAGTATTCTTGCTGCTATTGTTGCATACGTGGAAAAAGTTCTATCCTTCTTTAACACCAATTGGCCGACCATGCCCAGGAGAAAGGCCTCTGGCTTCTTCAAAAGGGTATATTTAAATGCCTTTTTCATTTTGTTATAAATCATCTCCCAAAGTGTCTTAATCCTTGGGCATGTCCACCAAAAGTGAACTCTAATCCTCAAATTCGTCTGTTTTTCTTTAAGTGCAGTCATAGCAGGCGTCAACTTATGTTCATCAAATTGCCTCTATAGGGCTGGGGCTCTCTTTCTCTTTCTCTCCAGTTGTGTTACTTTACATTCAGCAACAACAGCTTTTTTCTTGGCTTCCTCTGCAGTTTGCCGTATCAAAGTAGGTTCCTGTATCAATTTCTGGGTGGTTTCTGTATTGATATTATTTATACTTTCTGTATTTAGGTTAATTTTAGTAATTGAAACATCCATTTTCGCGTTTATCATGTCCATTTTCCTGTTAAGCTGATCCAATGAGTTATTTATCTTATAAAATGCAGCCACTAAAGCCTCTTCTGTCGACATTCTTCTTGGTTTTAAATATGCTGGTACAAAGGCAGCAACAGAAGGAGCGGAGGGGGGCCTGATGATGGACCTCTTCTGGATTGTTGCCAAGTCCTCCCGGACCTTAATGTTTTGTCAGCAGTTGACTAGTCTGTTTTTCCTCTTCCATTTACCATAACACTTAAAAGATTCAAGGTTAG